CAATTATTGTGTACCTCTGCTTAAAATTGTTTCCTCGATGAGCTCATTAGTTCAAGCGTGCAAAACGTGGAAGTCCAAGCGTGATTGAGCTTGACGTGAAAGTCCAAGCGTCCAAGCAGGATTCCAAAATTCCCATCTAAAATCCAACAAAACTATAAATTCCTAATGTAATTCTATATGATTAGATTGTGCACTGTTTATGGTGGAAATCAAATGTTGTGTGCTTTGGTATGGAAATTGAATTGTGTTGCTTCGTGAATTAATTTGTGAAGCACATTAAATATGCCCATATTTTTTGACAAATATCAAATACTTAATCCATAGGCACATAATATTTCCAAGCAGTGCAAAATTATGCAAATATGAAAACCTATAGTCATCCAATATGCAAGTGTGCATTTATGTTGCTTTTGTTGTCTTAAACTTTCTTTTTTCTATATAAATATTCTTGTTATGATGATCATATTGATAATTGGATGTGTTTACCATTGAGTGTCATTTAGATTCAGCTCTTGAATTCCCTAATTGAGTTTTTTTCAAGTTCCCTCATTCAACACCTTGTAGTTTTTCGATGTTTTATATTAAACCAGAATTTTGTCTCTTTGTTTTCGAAAACCTTTATTGTAGCTCTATGACTTTGATGTTTAATTCCTTTATCTTGCAAATGAAGCTAGTGGCAAGAAGTGTTGTCGTCTTGTATAAAAAATGTGATCCTTTTTTCCTTCTACAACAAGTAAAGTGTTGCCTTCGATTTCCTTGCAGTAGAGGTATTTAGTTGCTAATCGTTTCCATTTATTTATGGTTTTACAGTAGCACAAAATGAAATATTAATAAAAAGAAAATTTGGATTTAGAAACTTATTGTTTTGTTGCAATTAAGATTGAAAACTTGTAGTTACAAGGGCTATTAAAAAGCACGAACAACTGATTTTTGACTTGCTTATTATGAAAAACAAGTTTAATATATATACACACACACACACTTTAATTTTACTTTATAAAAATAATTTATATACTTTTTTTGTTTGTGTGTATGTTTAATTTAACCCAAAAAAAAGAGAAAATGTTCAAAATGATCACTCAATTCTTTGTGAGGGACCAAAATGGTCTCTAACTCTTTTGAGGGACCAATTTGGTCTCTCAACTCTTTAAAATGATGCCTCTTTGATCTCCCGTTAACTTTTAATAGAAAATTCGGATGCGTCGAATTTACCACATGGGTATAATTGGAAAAAAAAAACATAACCTTTGATTTTCATTATAGACATCAGTAAGTCATTGAATCCTTTGAACCCTCCAGGAGCGTCGAAACCCCAACAACATCGTACAGCAGCTTTAAGTCCCACATCGCGCAGCGCAGCAAGCGTTGACCACAACTTTGACCCCGACATACCGTAGGGCACACATCGAGCACATTTGGATTCAACCATTGAATTTGAGTCATAAAGCGTCATATATTTATTAAAACTTTCTGCTTATTTTGATTCAAAAGGATTTACATATGATATTATTTATTTAGAGAAATCATATGCAAATAGATATTATTTTTAATTTAGTCACACATATTTTTATCAATCATATTTTTGAAACATTTAATAAAACTTTTGAAATTAAAACTAAAATTATTATTTTTTTATTAAAGAAACATTTAATAATTTTTTTGACTTATAATTACTTGAAAATTACATTCAATGAACAATTTAATTAAAAAATAATCAAAATACTCTCACATTTAAAACCATTAACTTCAACATTAGATGTTAGGATAAAAAAAATCTAATTTTAAAGAATTGAGGGACCAAATTAGTCCCTCAAAAGAGTTGGGAATGATTTTGATCCCTTACAAAAAGTTGAGGGACTATTTTGGTCCCTTTTCTCTTAAAAAATAGATTTTAACATATTTTATAATTTGAGCCAAATTCAAGTCGAACAAGCTCGTTGAAGTTTGAAAACATCAAACACAAACATGATTACAAACAATATAGAACACAGGATGCTTTAGAATAAAATAAAATTTGAATGAGCAAAACACAAACACATATTAAGCTCACCTAACTTCATCTCCTTTACACCCTAATTTGCATGTACTTCACTTCGGAAACAATAACAACGACAACAAGCCTATATCCCACTATGCGGGATCAGCTATATGAATCTTTTTTCACCATTGTGTCCTACCAAAAATCAAATTATCATTTAAATCTAATAATAATGGCATTCTAATACTTTCTAATCAAGTCTTTTTAAATCTACCTCTACCTTTCTTAATATAAGTCAAATCTAATACATCAACTCTAATACAGTACTTAACATTTGTTAAATTGAAACATACAATATTTAACCAAATCTTAGAGGATTATACCCAGTTTTTTATTTTGGATCTTTGGGTTATAAATCAAACCCTACATACATGTAATTTCAATGACTTACTGAAATATATAATTTATATATATAATTATATTTTATAGTTTATCATAGTTTCATCAGGTGTGGTGCAAGTCTTAATGACAAGACCTGAGGGATACTTCTCATTATAACGGCGTGAAGCCTAAATCTTAGAATTTGTGGTTTCCATCATTGTTTTGTCATCATGTTTTATAATTGGCTCTTGTACATGCTTAAGATTTTGTCCAGAATGTTACATATTGGTTTTCAAACACAATGTGGTTTGACCAAGTATTTAAGAATATACAGGAGTTGATACTTATGTCAAAAAACAAGGTGGTTTGACCAAATATTTTCCAATTTCGATTGGATAACATCAAGGATCAACCTTCAGCTCATATATTTTTGTTTTAGTCATGAATATTCTTACTAGACATTTGCCTAGCGTATGTTTTTTGTCGATGGTATTCTTCTTATTGATATAACTAGAGAGGGAGTTGAAGGAAAACTTGAATTATAGAAGCCAACCTTAAGAGTCCAAATTTTTTCGTTTAAATAGATCTAAAACCAAATGCATGGAGTGTAATTTTAAGTCATAGATCTAGTGGAGGAATGGTGACTTTGGATGATCATGTCATTAATAAGAGTACACGTTTTACATATCTTTAATCTATTGTTCAAAATGATGGTAAAATAGATGGGGATATTATTATTAGAATTCAATTGGATGATTGAAAGTGGATGAATGCATCAGACCTATTGTATGACAGAAAAGTTCCTCTCAAAGTTAAGGGAAAATTCTATATGATGGTGGTGAGACTAAGCAATGCTTTATGGTGTGGAATGTTGGACATTAAAAGGAAGCATAAAATTAAGTATTGTAGAGATGTTGATGCTCAGGGTGGCTTCACTCTTAGAGACAAAATGCGAAACGAGCATTATACGGAGTAACTCTAGTGGAAGATAAGATTAGAGAGTCATCTTTAATAATTTGGTCACATAAAACATCAGCTAGGAGAGTGCATGTATTAGATTTGGCCTATGTTAAAAAGGTAGAGGTAAACCTAAGAAAACATAGTTAGAAAATATTAGAAATGAACTTTTTTATTAGATTTAAATGAGAAATTGACTATTAACAAGACACAATGGAGAAAAAGTATTCATATGGCCAACCTCACGTAGTGGGATAAAGGCTTGATGTTGTTGTTACATATTGATTTTTATTTTTAGGTGTGAATCTAAATTATAGTGGAATACTTGAGTTCTCATAGGAAATACTTGAGTTCACAAGTAACCCTATGGGAAATACTTGAGTTCTCAAGCAAACCTAATAGAAATTGGTGAAAACAATGGGAAATCTTGTTGATTTCTCCAAAGAGAAATCATCAAGACAAAGCAGAAATTTCAGAAAAACTGGAAAGAAACACATGAAACTTCTTCTATTCAATCCACGAACAAGAAAAGCAATATAAGATACAAGTTTCTTCGATTCGAGAGGAAGAAACAACTCTCCAATTCTCAAGCAAAGCCTAGAGCCCAAAAAGAACAAACCCTATATCTCAAATCTCTTCCAAATTCAAGATGAAAAGCAAACCCTAACAAAAAAGAATAATTAAATCCAAAGGACCCTTACAAAAAGACTAAACAACCATTAATCCAAACTTTTCCTCCTAAACAACGATTACATTAAGCAATTGGGCCCACTAGGGCATTTGCCCCCCTCCCCTTGGTTCCGCCCCCACTTGGCTTGGGCCACCTGCTATAGCAGTGAATCGGTCCAGGTTGGACTGGTTCAACCGGCCCCTCATGGGCTGGCCTAACAAGTTCTCAAACTTTTTTGTGATACATCACATTTTCGTGACTTTTATATTATCATTTGGAATATTTAAGTATCTTTTTTTTTTCTGATTTTGCATCAAAAGAAAGTACACTTTGATTAAATTGAAGGTTGGTAAACAATAATTTTTTATATTTATGTGTTTCTTTATGCATCTTGTCCTAATTTTATATTAGTGAACCCTATACCCTAGGACGTTCTACATCATGTGTTC